AGGCGTGAGCCACTGTGCCTGTCTGCAAGTCTTTTTACTTATAAAACTTAGACATTAAAATAAGAGCACAATTATGTCTTTCTCCTTACTTTCAACTATGTATTCATCTCTTGAAGCTGTTCACTATCGCCAAAAGTAGGTATAAGTTAAACTAATAATAAGTTATTTATTTAAACAAAGAAGAATTTCTCACAAACTAGTTTGTATCACCTCTCTCTCTGTCTCTCTTCTTTTTTTACCTTCACAAATCCACTTGTAATTGCTGCTAATCAAAGTGTAGATTCCAGGCATCTTGAATATTTCTTCTCAAGTTACAGTGCTTAAGTTTGGCCCCAATAAACTGTCTACTTATATTCATGTTGTGTCAGCTTTTTTTTAGGTGAAATATTATTTAGAATTTTCTAGAGCAGCCTCTGAGTAGATTTCTTCTTTGATTGTACTCGCTGTAACAGCCAAAAATGTAGAGTGATGTTGATTTTATCTGGAATCTGCAAATAAGGTCTGGCCTCTGCCTGGAATTTACAAAACAGGGCCAGACTTTAGATTGAGAATGTACAGAAAACCAGCAGGAGGCATTTTCTGCATTGTGAGATGTCAGCATAGACATTTCAGATCCCTCCTTTGAGAGTGTGGCTCTTTGACCTTTTCACATCGCTATCTTTATGTGAGAGGCTACAGGTGTAAATAGAATCTGATGACAGAATCTCTAAGTGTAAACAAGCATCTTAGGAGTGAGAGATCAAGGCCACAAAGTAGCCAGAGCCCTGAGCACAACTATAGCTACCTGGAAAATGTGATACCTGGGTGTTATTGTCCTTCTACATGCCCAAGAGCTAGCTAATCAGGACAGGTGATCCAGGTTCTGGAGCTCCACCAGGATAGTTTCATTTTCTTTTTAGAATCAGCCTGAGTCTCTCCTGCTGGCTTATTATTGGGCCATCAGCCCAGGGTCACTGGAAGTGCTCTCATAATCACCTAGGCATCTGAGACATTTGAGAATCTCCAGAACAGAATTGTGTCAGGCTGACAAGAGTGGTTAATTTTGCTTCTGTCTTAATGTAAAAGAAATGAGTCATCTGGTATTTGTTCCTCCCACCATACAAGAGATGTCTTTGGCTGGTACCCAGATGAGAGTTTCTCTGGTTCCCTGGTAATTGGGTGAAAAACAAGGAGGCGATCTGGAGACTCAAACAGATAAACAAATTGATTCCATTTCATATAGTCATTAGAAAAATAGATAAAGCAGTCATGGTCCCTACCATGCAAGAACTTTTAGTCTTGACTATCAACTGGATAAGTGGTATAATTATGCATCATATGGTGGGTACAATAAGTAGATGTGTGCAAAGATATGGGATTTATTTGCACCATTTTCTTTATATTGTTGAGACTTCTGATGTCTACACCTGAACATATATTTATAAACAAAAGAGTTATTATTTGTATTTTTTAGCTTGCTAAGAATACTTATCTTCTAAAAATTATTTTAGAAAACCTTAAGCGTTTTGTTTAAACTGCTTATTAGTATGTGATATGCCCTTGAGAGGGCAGTGGGGTTTAAAAAGATTAAAAATTATATAAACTCTGAGATTTAAGTTTTTTTTTTTTTTGGTACACTTAAAAAATGAAACAACTGAAAATACTCCCCAGTGGCATAAAGAACAGAATTTTACATTAGTTCTACACCTTGCCCCAGCCCTGATCAGATTCACCCTTTTTGAAGACCTTATTTAGGTGTGGCCATACTCCGGAGTCGTGCCTCCCAGAACTAACTAGAAGAGATCAGAGTTTTGGGTGATGAATCCTGTTGCTTTTTTAGGGTTGATGCTCATGATTTTCTGAAACCCAAAAGCAGATAAATGGAAAATATGAAATATGATTTATATGGTCTTAATTTTTAAATTTTTTATTGAAACCATTGTTTGCAGAGACATTACATTTAGCAACTTGTTTTCTGTCCCTGCAGATATAGTAATTGATTCACAAATCACAAAATAATAAATATAAACACAACAAAAATTCATCTAAATTGCATTAAACTCTTTCTATCTGTATCCCGCTCATCTGTCTATCAGTGACAGATAAACAAAAGAAATAAAAATGCTGGGTTCTTATTCTAAATCCTTGGAATTATTGAACACTTAGTATAAACTCACAGGTTTTATCAGAATTAAATAATGGGTTATCAGTGCTCTGTAACCTCTTATTGAGCACACGGTACCTGCTTAATAAACATTGCATTAGTACATGTGCACATGTTGTTTTCTAAATGCAGACTTACTCAGAAATTGCTGCTTTCTGTTTTCTCTATAAACTTTAAAGAGCCAGCAAATAATATAATACTTTAAGATAAAGAATGGTTGTCTTCATTTGTATCAAAAGTATTTGTGTTGTGACAAGACTGCTGAATATAAGGGACTCTGTGCCATGCCTCATTTTTCTACATGCCCAAAAGCTAGCTAATCAGGACAGGTGATCCAGGTTCTGGAGCTCCACCAAGATAGTTTCATTTTCTTTTTAGAATCACCCTGAGTCTCTCCTGCTGGCTTTTGGGCCAATGCTAATAATGAGCCCAGAGAGAGTGACATCAGCACTGACAGGGGACTTCTTTAAAACACCCATTTCCTGGGCAACAGAGCGAGACTCCGTCTCAAAAAAAAAAAAAAAAAAAAAAAATTAAAACACCCATTTATGGACCCTTTCCAAACCTGAAGAATCATACTACATAGAGTGGGGCCAAATTTACAAAGTGATGTATAAGCTCATTAAAGCTTGAGTAGCAGTGCTTAGGTAAGTGGTTATAAGGGCAGGCTTCTAATTAGAATCATATGGCCAATTTGCAGAACTCTCTTGTACCCTTTTCACAGTTTGTTTAGTGTTCTCGGTGAAAGCGTCTATTTGTTTTCATTAAGTGCCTCATGTGACTCTAAGGTGCCAGAATCAAGTATGACGAGTTCAAGATACATTTATGAGAGTTAAGTGCTGCCTTTGCACTAAAGGGTGGTCCAGGAACCTGTTCTGTTTGGGTTTGGTAAGGACAGGACAGTGTGGCCAATATTTCTATTACTGTAGCAGAAATTGCTAGTGTCTGTAGCAGAGGAGAGAACCTGAGGACCAAAAAATAAAATATATATATTATATATATACACGCACACTTTTTTCTTTTTTTTTAAAGATGAAGTTTCACTCTTGTTGCCCAGGCTGGAGTGCAATAGTGCAGTCTTGGCTCACTGCAACCTCCACCTCCCGGGTTCAAGTGATTCTCTTCTCTTCCCTCAGCCTCCTGAGTAGCTGGGATTACAGGCATGAGCCACCACGTCCTGCTAATTTTGTAGTTTTAGTAGAGATGGAGTTTCTTCATGTTGGTCAGGCTGGTCTCGAACTCCCGACCTCAAGTGATCCACCCACCTCAGCCTCCCAAAGTGCGGGATTACAGGCATGAGCCACTGCGCCTGGCTGCAGATAAACTTACATTTTTTATCTCTGTGGAGCAGCTCATTGTTCCTAAATCTTTTCTGTTATAAAGGACAGAAATGGGTAGAGTTTTTCTGTCTTGGGCTTTCTGCCTTTGGGTGTTGTGGTAAAAGATGAACATATGGTGCTCAAATTTTTAAAGGCAGATATAATTAGTCCGGAAAGTGTCATCTGAGAAATAATTCTAGAGGAGGAGGAGACAGAAAAAATGACTTTTCTTCAGCTAAACATTTCTGACATCAAGAGCTGTGTCCACTCTGCCTCCTGGATTGCCATGTGCTTAGTACTTGCAAATCTTTACTTCTATACTTGTGTTTTTTCTCCCTAATGAGTTTTTCTTAACTACTTTTACAAATGCTTATGATAGTCGAGGGTCTCTGAAAAATACTTCGTTTCTATATATCACAGCCTTCTCTACATCACGGCTTCTTATATGCCATGCAGAATTCTTACCATGAATTTGTGATCTGCAATATTAAAAATGTTGACTGGCTGTTGAACATGGATAGCTGTGGATACTCAGTATCCCTCCCCTCCCCTCCCCTCCCCTCCCCTCCCCTCTCCTTTCTTTCTGAGACGGAATCTCACTCTGTCATCCCGGCTGGAGTGCAGTGACAGGATCTCGGCTCACTGCAGCCTCCACATCCCAGATTCAAGCAATTCTCCTGCCTCAGCTTCCGGAGTAGCTGGGATTACAAGCACACATCATCACACTCAGCTAATTTTTGTATTTTTAGTAGAGACGGGGTTTTACCATGTTGGTCAGGCTAGTCTCAAACTCCTGACCACGTGATCCACCTGCCTCAACCTCCCAAAGTGCTGGGATTATAGGCATGAGCCACAGCATCCAGCAATGATAGTCTATATTTCTTTGGGGGAAAATCTGGGGTTCCTAGTAAAGATGGAGAACATGTAATGTTGAGGTTTTTTCTGTGTTCTTTATTGTTTTGAGGCATTACACGATTAAGAAAATGCTCATTTAAACAGAATGGCATTTATTACCCAGAAAGTTCTGAAAGAAGTGGCTGGGCAATTTGGCTCACGCCTGTAATCCCAACACTTTGGGAGGCTGAGGCGGATGGATCACAAGGACAGGATTGAGACCGTCCTGGTGAACATGGTGAAACCCCATCCCTACTAGAAATACAAAAAATTAGCCAGGCGTGGTGGCATGCGCTAGTAGTCCCAGCTACTCGGGAGGCTGAGGCAGGAGAATCACTGGAACCTTGGAGGCAGAGGTTTCAGTGAGCCAAGATCGCACCATTGCACTACAACCTGGGCGACAGAGTGAGACTGAGTCTCAAAAAAACAAAAACAAAAACAAAAAACAAACAACAATTACCAGGAGATACCTGTTTATTTGGTTGCTAAAGAAAGACTACTTAAAGTCACTATTAAAAATTGTAGAACATGGAAGATATCTGTATCTTTAACTTTCCATACAACTGATGTTTTCTTACAGTTAAATTCAGACTGTAACTGGCTTTAGTGGGGGCAATATCTCAGTAGTGATGCTGTGTCCTTCTAGGTGCATCAGCACACTATAAAAACTTGTCCTAGTGCATTTGATGTTAATAACTCACTTGCTTAGTAAGCTCTCTTACAGATTTTTTCGCTATAGAGTTTTCTTTTTTTCTTTTCATCATTAAGTATCTTTATGCAGCTGATGTCCATAAACCATCACATTTAATCTGGCAGCTGCCCTGTTTTTGAGGTTTTCTTTGTATTTATCTTTCTTTGGTAAATGAAAGCTCTCATCTTTGTTTACAGGACAGAAAAACTGAAAAAGACACAGACTCTTCCACTTACTGGATGTTTGACAAAATGATCTTTTGGGGCCAAAACATTGGCATTACTGGTAAACTTGGTAAAGATTCCGTAACTTAGACTTTATTTCAGATCTCCTGAAACAATAATCTGCATTAACAAGATGTCTGGTTTATTATACACATTAAAATTCAAGTGTTACCTTCTAAGTCAACATGTCTATTTTGTCTGAAAAATGTAAACAGCTATGTCTTTTTCATCTGAAAAACATACACAACTCATTCTGTATTATGTAAATATAGTCCCCCAAAAATGTACATGTTAGTGTTTATGCCCTCAATTTTATACTTCATCATCCAGACAAGTATCATATACACACTGATTTTGTGGATATTATGCCACTCTCTTTTCTCAGAGTTAGAGAATATATTAGAAAACGTTTGTGTTTTGACAATTATTTTATTGGATAATTTCAGTCCCTCTTATAAGTTAGAATCAGTTCTATTCACTTTCTGATTTTACCTTGAGTCAAATGGAAAATTCTGCCAATAGCCACTTTGTAAGTATGTGTGTTTGTGTGTCTTTTCCAGGGACTGTTGACATTTACAGTTGTGGCCATAGAATTCTCTTTGGAGGAGTAGCAGTGCCTGGACACTGCACAGCAGAATTTATAGAGGAATGGGATGAAAACCTGGCCTTCCTGGGTGAGGATAACTTTAATACAAAATTCCTTATATAAACTAAAGTTTTCATTTCTCTTTTGTAGAATGTTTTCTGGTAATTTATGCTTTCAAATTTCTGTTTTCAAGAAAATCCTGGGGATTTGTCTGTTTAGAAAATAATTTCTTCAAGAGGTTTCATCTTGACTTGAACTTTCCATATTCCTGAGCTGATCTGTGTCCTTCACTTTAGATTATTGGTAATTTCAGAAGTTTAGTTGCATAAAACATTGTTACTCAGGCCTTAAAATCTAATTGTCATCAGCAATTTTTAATTCAGTCGTACCAGGCAGTGAAATTAAGAACCTACAAAATTAAATTATTTTCTTTTTCTTTTTCTTTTTTTTTTTTTTTGAGATGGAGTCTTGCTCTGTCACCCAGGCTAGGGTACAATGGCATGATCTCAGCTCACTGCAACCTCCACCTCCCAGGTTCAAGCGATTCTCCTGCGTCAGCCTACTGAGTAGGCTGGGGTTACAGGCGCCTGCCACCATGCCCAGCTAATTTTTGTATTTTTAGTAGAGACAGGGTTTCACCATCTTGGACAGGCTGGTCTCGAACTCCTGACCTCATGATCCACCTGCCTTGGCCTCCCAAAGTGCTGGGATTACAGGTGTGAGCCACCGTACCCGACCAATAAAAGTATTTTCTAAATATTTAAACATTTCTGTTATAAATTAGTATATTGGGATAAATTTATTAGAATATTCTATTATATCCTCTTTACTGAGCACATTACTAAGTTGGTAATTGGAGAATATGAGTAAGATTCATGTTAGTTATTTTTAATAAAACAGGTATTGCTGTCTCTAAGCCCGACCTGATCACCTCTCTGGAGCAAGGAAAAGAGTCCTGGAATATGAAGTGACATGAGATGGTGGATGAACCCCCAGGTAGGTGAGAGTGAATACAACAGATGACATGGATGAGGGGTCCAAGTCAAGAAGAAAGCAAGTCCTTAAAGTGATTTGGGAAGCTGTGTTCAAAAGGAAATAGTTTCTGGAAAGCCTGAAAATTTTTAAAAATTATACTCTCACATAGGGGCATCTTCTGTCTTATGTTTATAAAATTTCTAAGAATTCTAATTTCCTTTCAATGTTCTTCTTTCAAATTTACAGTGACAGCTAAAGTACTGTTCGTGACATACAAAAAGAGTGTACAATCTGACTTTTTTTTTCCTTGTTTATGTGGACAGAGAGATATCTCCATAATTTTGAGATACTCTATGTTAAACTATTTTTAAGTTCTCTTTTTACATCACGTCTGAAATGCATGAGTGGTGGTGGTTTCTGTTTCATTGGTTTTCTTGTTCATTTTTTCTGCACATTTCATCCTGTTTTCATTACCATAGTTTTGAAATATAGTTTGAAATTATAAAGTATGATGTCTTTCTGCTTTGTTCTTTTTTCTTAAGATTGCTTTGGCTATTCAAAGTTTATTGTAGTTTCATGTATATTTTAGGATTGTGTTTTTCATTACTGTGAAAAAAAAAACACTGGAATTATGACAGGGAGTTTATTGAATCTAGAGATCACTTTGGATAATATAGCTGTTTCACAATACTTATTCTTTCAGTAGAAATATTTTTAAATTTATTTGTGTCCTGTCTACTTTTTTTCATTGATTTATCTTTTACTTAAAAGATTTACAAGCTCCATGTTTAAATTTGTTCTAAAATTAATTATTTCATTGCTATTGTAAATAAGATTTTTTTCCTCTATTTTATCAGACCATTTGTTTAAAGTATATGAAACCATAACTTGGATTTGTGTGTTAATTTTATATTTTTAGTTTAAACAGGTTTTAATGTACTGCTTATGTTTTTTTGATATAAGATTACATGATCTACCGAGAGCAACGTTTTACTTTTGGTCTTCAATTTCAATGACTTTAAATTTTTCTTTTGACTATTTCTTCCACATACTTTCAGTGCTATGTTAAAATAGAAGCATTGACAATAAGAAACAGTTGTTTTGCAATGGGGTCTGTAAATTTAAAGGAGCAAACACCTCTTCAAGATTTTATAAACTGGTTTCAGAAAGTAAAAGTAAATTTTTGTTTGGCCCCCAATGTGATAGAATGCCCTCTGGGTTTGTAGTGAAGAAGGGGTGCAGCTTGGTCTTAAGGCTGCTGGGTTTGCACAAGGGTCCACCTTTAGTTGTCTTGTTAAAAGGGGCTTGGATAATTGTAGTTCACATTTAAATTTTGGACAGTTAATTTTTGGATAGAGTGAATATCTTTCAGGACTTTGCTGTGCATTGCAGACCCAGGGGCAGGTTTCTGCAGTCGGGTCTGCATATGGTGGACTTTATATCAGGATGTGGGTGAGCATGGCTTTCACTGACTACAAGAGAGAATTTTCCCAGGTCACTTTGGGTTTCTACATAGGCAGAACCGGCCATGAACTGTGGCTCAGGGACCTGGAAATGAATCATGAAACTGCCTCAGGGACCACAGTAAAGGCCAAGGTCTGCAGGCCTGCCAGCATGGCTGTAAATGGTGTCTTCCTCTAGGCCTCTGGAAGGGCAGGACCTCCCCCAGACTGTGGCTGGGAAGAGTTTGGGATGGTTACAGAGTAAGTTCAAAATTCTCACTGGAACCAAGTTAGGTGGAACATTTTCTTGTCTGTAGCCAAAAACAGTATTCCTGTAGTTTGCCACCTGAATGAGGGCCTGCCTTCTAAACAGAATTACTTCAATCTTGGGCTTTGGCAGAACACAACTCCCTTCCTAGATCTCAGAACTCTCTTAAAGGCACTTTTTTTTTCTTCTTCTTCTTTGAGACGGAGTCTCGCTCTGTCACACAGACTGGAGTGCAATGGCGCGATCTTGACTCACTGCAACCTTCGCCTCCCGGGTTCAAGTGATTCTTCTGCCTCAGCCTCCCGAGTAGCTGGGATTACAGGTGCGGCCACCACACCCAGCTAAATTTTGTGTTTTTAGTAGAGATGGAGTTTCACCAGGTTGGCTAGGCTGGTCTTGAACTTTTAGCCTCAGGTGATCCACCCACCTTGGATCACAGGTGTGAGGGATTATAGGTGTGAGCCACTGTGCCTGGCCAAAGGCACTTATTTTCGAGATGTGGTCTTATTACATAACCCAGGCATGTCTTAATATTTTGACTGCAAGCAATTCGTTAATGTATCATGTAACTGTCATTATCGGTGTAAACCATGATGCATGGTTCTCTCAAAAAGGCATTTTCGTTAGGAATGGCTGACAAATTTTCTTGCTGTCAGGGGATAAGCAAATAGGGTGCCCTTTTTTTTTTTTTTTTTTTTTTTAGTCTCATTAATGTCACTCTCTATATAAATTTTTACTTTCTATTTTCTACTTCAAATTTGTCTGTAATTTTAGATTCAGACATTTAGGGCAATATACTAGAATTTACATGTTGTGCCTGAATTAAATTAGATAATTAGTATGCAGGCAGGCAAAAAGGAATTATAAAATTTTCAACTACTTTTGTCAGCCTATATCTAAATAATAGCATAGTTTATTCCCCAAATATTTGTTTTGTATATGAGGCTCTAACCCTATTCTGCTAAATATATGTATAATTTCACAATGTAAGGTGTTGTTTGCTTCTATATTTGGATTACAGTAGTTTTATTTTGGGTAAAAATAGCAAATATTTAAAACAAAAATTGACACTAGTTTATTTTAAATGCTTATCTATTAAAAGTTTTTCATTAGCATCTCCTGTTTATGATTGTAATTCATTTTCTCTGAAATTTTATTACCTTACAATAGATTCCAGTAATTTAAAATGCCTGCCTTCCAGGAATGCACAGTTACAGCCAAACATTGCAGTCATCTAGACAAATTATTTGTTAATGTACATTGATGTTGCCAACTAGATTTTATGAGTAAACATTTATTATTGTCTTGTAGTACTATAATTGTCTTTTTTACTGTAAATTTCTTACTATCAGTTTATTGTTTTTAGTTTTATTTATGTATTATAATTTTAGACAATTGGCAATTCTGTTTGTATACTTTAAATTAATGTGGGGTTTAATTAAAAGATAAATGAGCCATATGTCTGTCACAATCAGATTATATATATTTGTGTGTTTATATCTGCAAATGTGACCCCAATTTTTGTTATAGCTTATCTTGCATATATTCTTTCTTAGCTCATTCTCTTTTTCTCTTTTTTTTTTTCTTTTTTTTTTTTTTTTTTTTGAGATGGGGTTTTGCTGTTGTTGCTGAGGCTGGAGTGCAATGCACTATCTCGCCTCACTGCAACCTCTGCCTCCAGGGTTCAAACAATTCTCCCGCCTCAGCCTCCCAAGTAGCTGGGATTACAACCATGTGCCACCACACCCCGCAAATTTTCTTTATTTTTCTTTATTAGAGGCGGGGTTTCTCCATCTTGGTCAGGCTGGTCTCGGATTCCTGACCTCAGGTGATCTGCCCACCTCAGCCTCTCAAAGTGCTGGGATTGTAGGCATTAGCCACTGTGCCCAACCTCTTAGCTCATTTTCAATGTTGGTTTTATCTTGTCTAAGTGAGTAGCCTTGGAAATAGCCTCATTTTCGCCATGTGTTTAATGATGAATACGTATTTCCTTTGTGTGAGACAAACATTTTGTGATTTGGAGGTAATTTTTTAGAAGATTTATAATTTGGTATTTTTTTTCAGTTTTTTAAGAAGTAATTGTTGTAAAAACACATAACATATAATTTAGCTTCTTAAATCTGTTTAAATGCACATGTCAGGGCCAGGCATGGTGGTGGCTCACATCTGTAAAACCAGGATTTTGAGAGGCCAGGACAGGATTGCTTGAGCCCAAAAGATTGAGACCAGCCTGGGCAAAATGTGGAGACACCGTCTCTACAAACATTTTTCTTTCTAAGAAATAGCCAGGCAGGGTTGTGTGTACCTGTGGTCTGAGCTACTTGAGAGATCGAGGGGCAGGGTTACTTGAGCCTGGGAGTGTAAGGCTGCAGTGAGCCATAATTGTGCCATGCACTCAAGCTTGGGTGACAGATTGAGACCCTGTCTCAAAAAAAAAAAAAAAAAAAAAGAGTTGTATATTTCAACTATCTTAACTGTATTCACATTGTTTTGCAAAAGACTTCTAGAAATTTTATATCTTGTAAAACTAAGACTCACTATCCATTAAATAACATTTACTCATTTTATGCTCTCTCCAGCCCTTAACAAACACCCTTCCACTTTCTGTTTTTACGAGTGTGACTGTTTTATATATCTTACATAAATGAAATAATAATATCTATGATTTCATTACTGGCTTATTTCAGCTGACATAATATTCTCAAAGTGTATCTTTAAATGTGACAAGACTTTTCTTAAAGGTTGAATAATATTCCATTGTATCAAATATGTCTTGAAGGTCCTATGTTGCATATTTTAGATACAGATTAATAAATGGAATTGCTGTATGTGATAATAATTTTATTTTTAATTATAAGAAGTACATTTATAACATAAAATAATGGGTGCCTCCTTGTTTCCTTGTTTTCTACCGACAGTCATCATGGGTTTCTTTCTTTTTTTTTTTTTTTGAGACAGAGTCTCTGTTGCCCAGGCTGGAGTGCAGTAGCATGATCTCAGCTTATTGCAACCTCTGCCTCCCAGATTCAAGCGATTTTCCTACATAGCTGGGATTACAGGCACATGCTGCCACACCCAGCTAATTTTTGTATTTTTAGTAGAGACAGGGTTTCACCATGTTTGTCAGTCTGGTCTTGAACTCCTGACCTTATGATCTGCCCAACTTGGCCTCCCAACATGCTGGGATTACAGGTGTGAGCCACCGTGCCAGCCCGTCCAATATGGTGAAACCCCATCTCTACTAAAAATATAAAAATTGGCTAGGCATGGTGGCAGGCTCGAGGCAGGAGAATTGGTTGAATCCAGAAGGCAGAGGTTGCAGTGAGCTGAGGCCATGCCACTGCATTCCAGCCTGGGCAATAGAGCAAGGCTCCATCTCAGAAAAAAAAGAAAACAAAAAGAACTTATCTTCTTATGGCTGATTAAAAGATTTTTCACTTATGGTTTCAGGAAATAATTGAACTTTATCAGTATGGATATTCAGTTTTTAAAATAATTTTGTGAAAAGATTATCTTTTTTCTATTGTGTGCTCATGTCAATTTTGTGGGAGATTATTTGGCCATATTCAGAAGGGTTCATTTCTGGGCGCTCTATTCTGTTCTTTCGTCTGTTTATCTGTCTTTGTGTCAGTACCACACTGTGTTTGTTATTGTTGCTTTTAATATGTTTCAAATTCAGAAATTATAATGCACCTTTGTTCTTTTTCATGGGTGTTTGGCTATAGGTCATAATAAAATTTTAACATTTTAAACAATATTTCTTTAAAAAACTGCTATTGGGGTTTTTATGAAGATTATATTGAATTTGTTTAGCACTGTAAGTTGTATTAACATCTTTGAAAAATTATTATTTTTTGATTCCTGAGCAAACATATGTTGAGGAGTGTGTTTTATTTTCATATATTTTTGGATTTTTTTTTAGTTTTACTTTTAATTTCTAGTTTAATTCAGTTTTGGTCAGAAAACACAAAGTGTGTAATTTTGGTCTTAAATTTATTTGTTGTTGTATTTGT